CCAGTGCCTATAAAACTGTATCACATAATACAATGTTAATAACAATAAAAAAGGTTAAATATCCCATCATTTCAAGCAGTCCTCGTCTTTACTCACAATCCAGAAATTTAAAAATTTATACCTCTAACCAATAGAGCTTGAGATTCATGACAACAGGCACTAGGTATGAGTTAAAGAGTAGCTCTTAAATTGATTCGTAAGGAAACAGCTTTTAGAGAAAAAGTGCAGTAACCATCTAAAAATAAACATTTTAGCAGAAAAAAAAATTACTTATGATCCTAGGGAATAATTTCCATATATTCACAAGGAAACCTAAACAGTTATTGTTGGAAAACTGTTAATGCTAGAGCAAAAACTGAATCATTCAGAATTCCCTACAATGTAACAGTAAAGTTTAAAAGGCAGTAACATTATGATGTATTCAGCTAAGCTTAAATGTAATAGGATATATTTATATGAAATGATTTAAAATACATTCAAATTAAATTAATGCAAGATGCTTTCATTGATATTGAAATGTACACAAAACATGCATGCATTTTGTAAATTATGTAATTACATTTAGTTTTAGAAATTTATAAAATTTTATGCTTTCCTGATAGACATATGATTGTTTGTGAAGTACCACCCAATGTAATACTAGAAGGGAAATCAATGGGGAGGGAAGGGAAACTTAGGAAGTGGGGCAACAAATCCCAGAAGCCATGGAACTATAGCATAAAATAATAAAAAAAAATTCTATGCTTACTGATAGAATGTAATCTAAAGTGATCAATACATTAGAAAGAGTCTGACATGGGTGATGAATAGAAAGGAGCAGAACATATTACTCTTGGTGTCTCTCTGATAATTACATATACCTGTTCTTTAAACTTTACAAAACTGTATTTTATATTTCTGATGATATATATTTTCATTATACTACAAATTCTCACACAGTGCACTTTCTATATATATTTGCTTATTTTTCAGTTAATTAATAAAGAAAAAGAGAAATGGAGAATGTCAGAGTGTTATTTTTTTTCTAGTAAATAGTCTTATCATATTGAAAACAAATCTTAAATCACTATAAATCTAGTGGTCTAATTTTGTTAACTATATTAATCCTCAAATATTCTACATATGCTTTGGATGAGAATAATAAGTGGACTATACTAATACAATAGCAATAACAACAACAATAACAATCTCACATTACTCCTTTGTCCATATCTACAGTAAAAGAATGTAAACCTGAATGAATTGAGCATATACTTAACTATACTGATTCTTTGCATTGTATTGCTAGCATTAAAAAGAGAGTATGTAGTGGGTAGTCATACTTACCGCACAGATAGGAAAATAAGCTAAGATTATTCAGTTAGTTTACCCAAAGATATTCTACTACATATTCATGGAGCTGGAATGTGAAGCCAAACATAATTACAAAGTAGGTCATCTTTTATGAGGTAATGTATATTTCATAAGATTTTGTAAATGTAAATGTCTGCAACATGTGATTCAAGCAGCTGTGAGCAAAATAAAGGAACTGCTTACACATCACAGAATTTTAAGATTTCTCTTTTTTGTATTTTTTAAATGTTGTCATTATTTTTCCATGATAAGGTTTTGTAGGTATAAGGATTTCACCTCCATCTCCTCTTCCTCTCTTTTGCTCTCTGCCACCCTATATCTACCATATTATTACAAAGCATAGACCTTCGGCAATAGTCACAAGTCCAACATTCTGCTGTTGAAGTGTATTATGGCATTGCATGAATTGGAAATGGTGAAAAATCCATCCTTCTATTTTCAAGGTAATTGAACAGAATCTGACGCTGTCATACCTCCTGTAATCTCTTTCATTAGTGAAGAAGCCCACACATGGAAATCTTCTCCAGGAAAGAAAGCAGGCTGTAGACTCACGGGTCTGGACAGAGATGTCATGGTTGCTGGCTATACGCAGTACTGAGTCTTTAAAAGTCTCCAGGAAATAGAAATAACCCTGCTTTTCAGAGTCATTTGCTCTGCTGGGAACCCTAAAGCTTCCCATCTCACTATGATTTGCGTAGCTTGTGACATAATAGTGGGGTTGATTACTGCCTTACCTTACCTGTGCTTATCAGAATGGCACTCTCACTCAGCTTGAGGGAGACTTCAGTTTCCTGGTGATTTTCACTCTTCCAAAGGAGTCCAGTTATAGAGTTTCCAAGGGCATAACACTCTCATGAGTGGAGTGGGAATGGCCATCCCCTGTCAGGGCAATGGGATGTTGGGAGTTGGAGATTTGAGTCCAGAACTCAGGTTCTGAGTCATTACAGCTTTCATCCGTTTAACAAAAACCCCAGGAACTGAGGAGGGGTAGATCCAAGTCTTTCTTGACTGTCTCTGGAGACTGCCTCTCATAGGACTGTCTGAGTACTGGAATGGTTGGCTCTCTATTACATCATACATCTGCATGCAAAAAGGAAAGATGGGGGGCAGATGTTTTGTGCAGTGTCTGGGATGCCCACATCTCATATTAGAGAATCTGAACTCAGGTCCCCACTCTGCTTCTAAACCAGTTTCTGCTTCGGTTATGCGTTCGTTCAGGTCTTTTGTTGCTTCTGGGCTAAGTTTGGGTAGGTGGTGGGAGTCTAAAAACTTCCCTAGGTTCACTCCCTAAATGACCTCAATATCCAGAGCTGAGTCAATTTGAACCCAGGAGACAGTAGCATCTTCCAGGTCTCCTGTTGCCTTCCTAGGCCATTAACAGGGAACTAAAACACAAGTAGAACCACAGAACCACTGGGACTCTACTTCATGTGGAATGCTGGCATCACAGGTGGAAGCTTGGCCTGTCACCCCAGGCCACTAACCCATGTTTGAATTTCTTTAAATATACTACATGTGCTGATCAATTAACTTGGGCCTACTTGAACACTTCAATGGGAGCTGGAGCTTTCTGTCGTGTAAATGTGACCCCACTAGAACTCTAGCATTCTAGACTACCAGCATTCACCAAATGCCACTGCCCAGGGCTTTTCGGTTGTTCTTGTTGTTTTAATCCTTTTTTTAACTCACGTGATTGTACATAGTAAACATGAAGAAGGTTTTATGCATGAATTTGTTAAGGACTACAGATTCAGGATAGAAGTTTGACAGACTTGTTAAAATACCAATTGGCACGATCCCAGTATTGTGGGTTGGAGCTGTGGCTCTGGGTCCTGTTTCCAGGTTTTGATAATGCAGCTCCAGGGAGACAGCTCAAGAGACTGTGATATTACATCAGGTTCCTAGCTCACAGCTCTGCTGCTGTTCATGGGGGGTGTGAACCAGTTGATGGAGAGGCACCAAAACGATTGTTCAAGACCCACAGAGTCACATCTCTGAAACATAGCTATTCCAGGGCAATCAGAAAGAATACGTTTATCCCCTTGAGCTTAGAAAACCCCTCGCAAGGTTCAGGTACACTGGGTTTTCCTTGAAGAAGAGCCAGGCTGAGCAGAGTGGCTCTCTCCTCTCCCCTCCAAGGCAAGTTCTTGTCCATCATTCTCTCTCTGTATTCTGAAGAATGGAAATCTGGCAACCATATTCCTTTGCCTGCTGTGCTCAAGTTTCCCCCTTGACCAGATACTGTGAGTGTCGTCCACACCAACCAGCACCAAAACATCTGGCAGTCTTGTGCTGTCAGTGAATTTACAGTTCAGCAGGTCAAGGCTGAGGCAGAGCTGTGAAGATTCCAGGATCCTGGCTGCGGCCAGAGCAGCCCCAACCAGTACATCATTCTCAGTTGCAAACCCAAGGATGGAAGGTCTCTCTCTCTCTCTCTCTCTCTCTCTGTTTGTGTGTGTGTGTCTGCCTCTTCCTTGCTCTGTAAATATGAGTTTCAAATAACTAAAGTTTTGAAAAAACATTAATTTCATATTTTCAGAAAGAATTTAAAGAATCCCTGCATTCTAGCTAAAGTACATCTAAGTTAACTTTATTATTCTTTGTGAGCTACATGACTGTTCCCTAATAAATGAAGTTGCTTTTTCCATAATTTCATAACTGTTTGTGCATGTGTGCCTTATTTCTGTTAGTTTTGATCTTCTTAGTATCATTAAATTTCATTTAAGCTGAGAAGACGCTAAGCTGCAATACCATGCATCCGAGCAACAGGGCTGTAGCGAGTAGCTAGACTATGTTCAGCCCAGGAAGACAGAGAATAGTTTGTGGAAATGTTACACTTAGGAATTGAAAGTAGAACACCAAATCACACACGGTGAGTGTCATTCTTGCAACCTGTAACTTCACATTCCTACAGATGAAGATCACGGTTCTTCAATCAGAGCTTAACGCTTGTGAGCGTAGTGGGATGAGGCCCATCCTTGCTTAGAGCAAGAGATCAGGAAAATTCACCAGAGTAGAACAAAGGAAGTGAACTTATGCCTCTCTGTCTTTTTCTTTTCTTTTCCTTTCCTTTCCTTTTGCTTCTTTTCTTTTCTTTTCTTTTTTCTTTTCTTTTCTTTTCTTTTTTTTCCCTTTCTTTTCTTTTCTTTGCTTCTCTTCTCTTCTCTTCTCTTCTCTTTCCTTTTCCTTTCTTTTCTTCTCTTCTCTTTTCTTTTTGAGACCAGTGTGTGTGTGTGTGTGTGTGTTGAGCTCCTGGAGCTGGAGATGAAGCTGAGCAGATACAACCTAGCATCCCTCATAGAGCAGAAGCAAGCTCACACTGGGGAGGGCAGCAGTGAGTCTTAGTGGCTTTCTGGGACATCATTTGTATGGGCTAAATCTGAGAATGAGACCCTGGACATAAACACAGTGATCACTATCCTTTCTCATAACTTACTACACCCATTCTGCAAGAACATTTGATAGCCTTGCAACTTGCATGTTATTTCTACAGGGTTATATGTAATAGAAAAGTCTGTTCACATTGTACTCATGGTACGTAGCAACTCTCAAAGCAGCAAACCCTCCCTGAACCCAGGATGGCAGCACTGGCTGCTGGTACCAGCACAAGAGAATGTCCGTCTTCTGGTCATTAAGGAGAAAGAAATCCGGATAATGGAGCAATTAAAATGGATGCCTGTGAGTATTCTTAGGGCAATTAAAATCAGAGAACCAGTTTTTGCTTTTTCTTGTTAATCAGAAAGTCTTTGTGTAACTGGAGTTTGAGAGAAAGGACAGGAGCACTCTGTCAGATATTTGTTGTCAATAATGCCTACAAGGAAAGGCCATTCTGGACACTGGGTGACTGAATTCAGATACAGGTCCATGGTAAGTAACAGCTTGGCTCCCTCCATCCTAAAAGGAAAAGGAGATTTAGGGAGGGGGATGCTGGCAAGTTGGGGGAGTGACCAGCAGGCCAGTGGGAATGCTGAGATGCTCCATGAGCCCAGAAATGCTTGTTCCTTTGCTTTTTTCCAGATTTTTTTTAAACAGAGATAAGCACAATTCTACTCTTCAGAAGTCTCTCCTAGCCCCAGAAGGTAATCATGTATCACAAGGGGGGAAAGATACAAGAGCTGTGAAGACAGAAGGGTGAGCTTTACCAAAGCAGTCAGGTTAAACATAACATACAGAGAAAAGAGAGACGCTGGGGCATCTTGTTCAAAGCAGTGTTTCTAAAACAGCCTTCTTAGTGGCTGAGGAAAAAGTAAAGTTGGCTCAGGCTGTAAATGTCTTCTTAGGTTCCTTCCTCCCAACACTTTCTTAAATTGCACAGGGAGAATCAGGATGTCACATCAGAAACTGACTGTTGTGTCCTCCAGTACTACAATTCTGGCAAGTAGCTGAATTTTGGTACGACTGTTTTTTTCCCTGTCTTGGAAGGTCTGCAGTTTCATGTCTACATTTCTATACAAAGTAACACTCCATAGAACAAATTTTATTCATATTTATTCTGTAATTTGAAGTTCATTTATCTGGTTAGATAATTAAATAAGACAGTAATAGTAATAACAAATAAACAATAAATAAATAAGCATTTTTTTCTCCCTTACTTTTTTTAACAAAATATTTAGTTTTCTTATTAATTGCATTGTATTATGTGACATCTTCCCGAATCCTCTCCCCATGGTGGATTTCTCCACCTTGCTGCATTACCACAGTTCAAATTCAGCGAGGTTCTTTCATTGGAAGTATTTACCTAGCATAAAGTCCTGTGTCTTATTATCCTAATAGGTTCAACGATTTGTTGGTAAGACCATCTCTGGTCTGAAGGTAAAGCCAGCAAAGTATCATCCCAATCAATTAAAAGTCCCAACATAACATCAACAGCCATTTACAACCTTAAGGCATTAATTGACATGGTATTATTAACAGTATGTTGATGGGAAAATGCGGTTTCTTAACTACATCCTGTGACTTCTTCATAGACATTTCAATTTTGGTTTGTATTCAACCTCATTCCATAGAGTTATCAGTTTAGGTACAGTACATTTTATTAGGATTGGTGTGCAGAGAAATCCCCAATATCCCAGTGAGGCGTACCCCAGTGTGTCCCACCTAGTGAGGCCTGATTGGGTCCATGCAGGGCGTTTCCTGTCTGATTCTAAGCTTTCCATGTTGTTGTCTTCCATTCTAGACTTTTTGGTTGTTTGTATGATTGTTTGTTTTCAGGGGTTAGTGTAGCAATCCTAATGGTCACAGCAAGGGAGGGTGGGGACCCCACTCAGCATTTTCTTTCTTACCAGCAGGATTTAATCCAAAGCAGAGGAAGATGTACATATCATATACCTACGGGAAAAATTACATCTAATCTATTTTTGTAATTATTTTGAATATTTTGGAGACACAAACAGAGATCCACAACATATTCTTATGTGGATCTTCAACTAGGAAATCTTCTCCAATTTCTGTGTCCAAATTTCTCATTTGTGTGATTAAAAAAACTGTGGCAGTAGTTTTCATATCTATCAGACTTACTCACAAAAAATATATGCAAACAAATTTGGCAGTGAAAGTGTTTTTGGTATCAATTGGCACTGCTGGTGTGGGTCTGGGAGATACGTAGAAGGAGGGCGCAGTCTGATGGCAGACTTCTACGCCCGTGCCCAAACTGCCAAGCACAGGAGAACTGTCGTCAGTCAGCTTCACCCTGCAGAGCCGCGCCCTGGTGTTGGCCAATCTAGTCACAGGACTAGGGATTACGTGATGCAGGACTGGGCATAAAAGGCAGAGCACAGCAGCTGCTGCTACCACTTGCTTTTGACACAGCTGTGTTTACTAGCAAGCCCCTCTAACAGACAACATGGTGCACCTTTCCGGTGAGGAGAAGGCTGCAGTCACCTCCCTGTGGTACAAGGTGGATGTGGATGAAGTTGGTGGTGAGACCCTGGGCAGGTTGGTATCCACTTTTTAAGGCAGCTGAATGGAACTGTGTTTGTGGAAACAGAGTCAGTGTCCTTCTTTGCCACCAGGGACTGACTTCCTCTCTCTGCTGGCCATTTTTCCTTTCTCAGGCTGCTGGTTGTCTTCCCATGGACCCAGAGGTTCTTTAGTTCCTTTGGTGACCTGTCCTCTCCCGATGCTGTTATGACCAATTCTAAGGTGAAGGCTCATGGCAAGAAGGTGATGAATGCCTTCAGCGAGGGTCTGCATCACCTGGACAGCCTCAAGGGCACCTTTGCCAAGCTCAGTGAGCTGCACTGTGACAAGCTGCATGTGGACCCCGAGAACTTCAAGGTGGGCTTGGAGTCCCTCCACCATTCTCATCCTATTTGTTTTTCCTGTGATTAAATCAATGTGCTACAGAGAGGTCATAGTTCAAAGAGTGTTTAGAAAGGAAAAGTGACATTTGCTTGCATCACGGTGGCATTCTAATGAGGCTTAATTTCTTCTTTATTTTTGTTGTATTCACAACCATTGCTTCTTCTTGTTTTCTTTAATCTCCCAGTTTTAACTAAACTATATGTTGTGTTTGTCATTTCAACTTTTTTTTCTCTCTTGGTCAAGTGTTTGTTTATTTGCCACAATGTAAATGTTATCTTTCAAAACTTGCTTGCAAGGCCAGCTTTCTTTGCACAATTTTAAGCAATAACTGCCATAATTCAGTGAAATGAAATAAGATTTCTGCATGTCAATTTTGGCTGGCGAAAGAAGATTCCTGTTGGTAGAAGCAGCTAATCCTAGTCATCATTCTGCCTGTATTTTTGAAGTAAGAACGACATGTGCCATTTGTGATAAGGATGGAGTGAGTCCAAGCGGGACCCAGTGCTAACCCTGTTCATTTCTCTCGTCTTTCCCACAGCTCCTGGGCAACGTGCTGGTTGTTGTGCTGTCCCACCACTTTGGCGCTGAATTCACTCCCCAGATGCAGGCTGCCTGGCAGAAGGTGGTGTCTGGTGTGGCCAATGCCCTGGCCCACAAGTACCACTAAGCTCCCCTCCCTGCTCTCCACCAATCTGGTGAAATCATGAAGCCCCCTGAGCACCTGGCTTCTGGCTAATAAAAACATTTTTTTTCATTGCAATAGTGTGCTAAAATTATTTCTGTGTCTCACACAAGGACCTATGGGAGGGGAGGTAACTGAAGAAACTGAAAGTGAGTGTCTGGTTGAGTCTTTGGCAACGTTTCCTTATGAGCTGTGTGTCATGAAAGCAAGTGAGGCAGCAAACGGCTATCAAGTGACTAAGCAGCTCCTGTTGCCTCTTCCTCAGTCCTCGGAAAGGCTTGATTTGAGGTCAGAACTTTGCCATACTTCATTTTATATCCTTTTTTGGCGTCCCGCAATTTTTACTTTCATGCTTTACTAGTCTGGTTTTTCCTCTACGCCTGACCACTCTCAGTCATCATGATCTCTGCTATTTTATGGAGATGTTATTAAATTGGCTGGGTAAAGGAGAGAAGGTGTGCTGACTCCCCTTCTCATGAGTCCTGTTCCTTGTGGTCACAGCTGATGCCACTGGTTCCCAACAGAAAAGGTGCACTGTTAGCAGGGTGATTAACATAAGACTCAACTGGAGGCAAAGGGGTTTTTTGGGGAGGCCAGTGAGATGGTGAATTAGGTTGATCTTCCACCTGTGGCAGTGGCACCCTATATGGGCACTGGTTTGTGTCCTGACTGCTCCATGCCTGATGTAGATCCCTCTTATGGCATGGCGGAATGATGGAGAACGGCTTGGTTGCTTGGGCCCTAGCACCCGTGTAGGAGACCCAGAGGAAGTTCTTGGCTCCTGACTTTGCTTTGGCTCAGCTCTACACATGTGCCCATTTGGAGAGTGAACTGGCAGATGGTGCCATCTTTCTCTTCTCTCAGTAAAATATGCATTTGAAATAAAAATGAATAAATTAATAATCTTAAATGCTTTCTGTGAATTCACATTAAATGACCATCCCTTAATAGGTTAGCTTCTGTATTCAGAGCAGTTGGAGGGCTGCTGTCTCCTTTAACCTGCCTCTTAATGGTTTTTCTGTCTCCATATTGGTCAGCATACTGTCACCATTTCCTCATTATTGAGTCACTCAGGTGGACTTCAGATTTTAGAAATAAAATATCAGTCTGATGTGGTCAAACTCCTCTTTACAACCCAAATGTGAATCTAGCCAGCATGATTCAAAAATCAAGTCACTTAATATGTGATAAAATTATTATTAAATATTATGTAGCTGTTGTGAAATTAAAGGGTGAAATCTTTAAAACCAAAGGGAATTGGATCCTTCCATCTCACTACATCACAAAACCTGCAAACTGTATTAAAATCTTAAATTGGGACCTAATATTGTAAAACTTCTAGAAGAAAGAATAAGATAAATCCCATTGACATTGGTATTAGTAATATTCTTTTGAATATGACAACAAAAGCAATGACAAGAAATGAACAAATAAGCAAGTGAGGCTACACCAAACTAAAAATGTACTGCACAATAATGAAAGCAATCATTAGCACAAAGGACAGTCTATGAAATGTAATAAAATATTTATGCAGGCCAGAAGAGTGGCACAACAGCCTAATTCTCTACCTTATGGCACTGGCATCTTGTATGGGTGGCCAGAGCTGAGCTGATCCTAAAGCAGGAGCCAGGAGTTTCTTCCAGGTCTCCCACCTGGAAACAGAGTCTCAAGGCCTTGTGCCATCCTCTACTGCTTTCCCAGGCCACAAGCAAAGCCCCACTTCCTATCCAGCTCCTTGCTTGTTGGAGACTAGGAGGAGGTTCCCGACTTCTGGATTCAGATTGGTGCAGCTTTGGCCATCGTGGCCGCTTGGGGAGTGAACCAACAGAAGGAGATTTTCATCTCTGTTTCTTCCTGTCTGTATATCTGTTTTTCCAGTAAAAATAAAATAAATCTTTATTTTAAAGAAAAAGGAAGCTGGATGGAAGTGGAGCAGCTGAGACAGGAACTGGCACCTATATAGGATCCCAGCAAACACAAGGCTAGGAGTTTAGCCACTAGGCTAGTGTGTCAAGCCCATTCTAATATTTTGTAACTAAGCCTTTCAAATAAAAAAGTAAACATCTTTAAAATTAGACAGAATTATAAATTTTATAAAGAACAAAAGATGCTATCCAAAATATATTAGAAATTCATGCTCATTAACCTGATAGTAGTAACAAACTATGAAATAAATAAGGATGTTGAATATTTGTTTCCAAGAGACATACAAATGGCTGAAATGTATATGAAAAAATGCTAAGATATGAAAAATGCTAATCAAGACCACAAAGAGTCATTATCTCACTCCTACTAAAGTATTTATTAGCTAAACAGAAAATAACAATTGGTAAGTAAGAGGAAAATTTTTTTTGTAAATTTTCAGTAGTAGTATAAATGCTCATAGTCATTATAAGACATTTCTACCAAATTTAAAAATAAGACTCCATGTAATTAAATAATTCCACTTCTCTGTATATATCTGGAACAAAATAAATATGTTGAAGATATTTGTAATTCTAAGCTAATTGCATCATTCTTCATTAGAGCCAAGAAAACACACCAACCTAAGTGGCTATTGACAAATAAATAAGTGAAGAAAATGTGATTTTATACATATATACATACACATATATGTATATGTTTATGTGTACTATTCAGTCTTATCAATAAAGAAAAATCTTTATTACAACAACACGGATGGACCTGGAAGACATTATCCTGATGAAAATTAGCAAGGAGGCAGATAATGTCCATAACACCTCTGAGAGTAAGAATATAAGAGAGAAGTATGAACAGGAAGACTAAACTCACGGTGAGCAACATGAGAAAACATATAACAAACACAGTTGGCTCATGTTCAGAGTGAAGACTTGAGACATGCCCTGGTGTTACAGAAGGAATAAGAGAACACAGTAGAAATCAAGAAAGCACAGGTCTGGCAGGATAATTAATGTATCATATTTCAAGTTCTCCAAACTCTTAATTTTTCGGATGTTTGATTAATTTGAAAGGCAGAGTCTCACACCCACTCCTCCCACACATTCATAATGCAAGAGAGAGAGAGAGAGTGAGAGAGAGAGGTCTTCATCACGTGGTCTATTCTTGAAATACCTAAAAGAGCCATGAATTGGTCAGGCCAAACTCAGAAAACTGGAAATCCATCAAGTTGTGCCCAAGAACGGTAGGAACCCATGTAGAACCATAATGGGTTCCTTCCTGCTCACATTAGCAGAAAGCTAGGTCAGAAGTGGAACAGTGAAAGCTGGAATAAGGACCTGCCTATGGGTGTTGGAGTCTCAGGCTGTAGCTTAAACTTCCCTCCCCACTGGAATGCTCTAGTCCTCACTATTCAGGACCTAAGGAGCACCAAGGGATAGCACAGAGAGCTGGTAATAGCCATGCAGAAATCACAGGCAATGACTAAGAGCATGGCTGAATGCATAAGAGAAAAAAATAAGGACAAAAAAAAGACCTAGATCAGTTCTTGCCAACGTGGTTTGACAGTAGTATATGGGAGATTTTAACAGGGTGATGAGTTAGGAACAAAGTTCACAGTAAGTGGCATTGCCTCCCAACTGTATCAAAGTGCTCTGAGAATACAGGGACAAAGAGCCCATAGTGACCTAATCAAATCTTAGAAAATTTTTCAACTGGAACTTGGGAGACTAACACTAAAACATAAAAGAACAAAAGTAATTCTGGAGACACTACATGGAACAGATTTGTATGTAGCAGCATTTTTGTCTACTAGCAACAACAATCTATGCCAGGTAAGAATTCACAAAGGCGTGTTAATTCACTTCTCCTCTCGTATTCCAGAGATTCTCAGAATTAAATGACAATGTTGAGATGGAGGAAAATTTGCAGTCCTATTTCTAAGGATTTTGAGCATCAAGGCGCTAGTTTAGCAGAAGTCAGGCTTAGAAAACTGTTGAATTGGAATATGTCTTTAGAATCAATAAACTAAAGAAGTGTCTCCTCGAGGCCAGTTAAAACAAAACAAAAGCAAAGAAACAAAGGCTTCTTTAATCAATATGAAATGTGAGCCACTAGATGGATAGTTAGAAAAACTAACCTCTCTTTTTGTGTTTTGGATTGGCTTCTGCTTTCCAAAGATGGACTACACATTGCACAGGTTGTTAGTAAGACACTGTAGCACTGGTTCAAGTTTCAGCTGTGGGCTTCCAATCTAGCTCCCCTCTAATGCACCTGGGAAAGTAGCAGAACCAGGTTTAAACACTTGGTTGGGCCCCTGCCTGCATATGGGAATCCTAGCTGGAGTTCCAAGCTTCTGGCTTCAGCCTGACCCAGTCCTGGACATTACCATCACTGGGGACCTCAAGCAGGGAATGGAAGATCTCTCTCTCTTTCTCCCTCTTTCTCTTTTCTCCTCCTTCTTCTTCTCTTTCTCCTTCTCTCTCCTCTTCTTCTCTCTCCTGCTCTTCTTGTCACTGCCTTTCAAATAACAGAAATCATCTTTTATCTTAAAAATGAGCATAGAATCATTGCTGCTGAAGTGCTTTAACAAAGATCTGAAATGCCTACAGAGATTAGATATTGAGAGTAAAGAGGGGTTGATGGGATTTCATATGGAGTGACCTCAAATCAAGAAGTATTATCATTTATTGCTAAAATGAATTTTCAGAATTGCTGAAAGATTCATTTGTATTGCTGAAAAGTTAGCATGATGTTTTCTCCAGCCTTTGTCCTCTCTGTCTCTCTCTCTCTCTCTGTCTTCTCTCTCTTTCTCTGTTGTATTAGTTAATTCATGGAAAACAAAACTACTCACAAAACCATATATCTTAAGCAAGACTTTTCTCAAGTGTTACTCTACCTTATTCTCCTTGACATTCCATCATAGATTTTTCTTATAATCATTAAGTGTACTAGAATGTAGACAGTTAGTAAGTCATAAAGGTAATTCAACAATGGTATATCTTTATCTCTTGTTGACTTGCTTTATTCAAAAAGCACTGGTAGAGTTTGTTGTATATTGAATGTAGAAAAAACACAAATCTAAAGCCAACTATTCTTGATGTTGGAGGAAACAAAATAATGATGACACATTTTACCTTCAAAGAATTGTGAATAAGTTAGTCTGGGTGACTCTCTTTTTCAACTTCACTCCACTGCTGCTTTGTCATATTTTTCTCAGAAGCAAGTGGAACTTAGGACATTTCTGAATCAATTTGTTGTCCTCCCATTGGTCTCCTCTGCCAACTTGAATTGTTAACATTAATCTAATTCCAAGAAGAATTGAGCCCTGTCTTAGGAGCTAAATCAGACTATCAAATAGGTTCAGAACTGAAGTACCCAAGAGAGTATGAGCAAAAGGCAGAGGTAAAGCTGGTTTTGTTTTGTTGATGATGTAGTGAAATGGTTAGGTGTTGAGCTTGCTAATCTGTCTTCATCCCCAGGCTGGGAACTGCTGCATCAAGGACATGGTCCCTTGAATTCTTGGGTGTCTTTCTAGTCTTTTTGTTTTGTTCGAACAGGGATCAGCTTACCTTCCATTGGAGAGTTAACTGTCTCATACAGCTGCTAGTCAGTATAGGCAAAAATATTTTTCACTTGTTGATTGCTGTTCCAGGCTGTGGACATGAACAACTATGTGTGCTAGAACTCCATTTCTTCAGTTATAAAGTGGCAATAACAACAACTGTTTGCACAGATCTGTTATAAAATCATAAGCACGTGAAGTGTAGAAAAAAAGCCTCCTTTGCATTGAAGGCTGATCAAATAACAAGAAACCCTAGTAGGAGATTAAACAGTTTAACAGTGATGGGGATACAAGGAGACCCCAGAAAGGAAGGGAAAACGCAGGAAAGAAAGTGTGCATGCTGTAACTTACAGGAGCCCTAAGGGACAGAGAAGCAGGAGAGCAGGGAACATATCTAATATGATCTCTAGATGTTGAGTTTGCTGGACAGAATTGGTTGAGCACTTTGCATACTTCTATGCAAAATGGGCACTCCAACATCAGTTTCCTGATTGTTTCACATGTCCTGCTTCCCTAGAATACACGTTCAGTTCCCTTACTGGTTGTCAGATCCACCTTATGATGGGTTGTGATTTTGCTCCTCCCTGAATGGTTAATTTTCAGGAAGGGGTCAGACAGGGAAAGCTGTTTTATATGTAGAAGATCCAGCACTGGCCAACATGGCCTTTCTTCCAGTTGTGTCCCCCTGACTGCTGCAGCAGGAGGTTTCTTCCTTTCAGTAATCTTCACAATGAGCAGAGTTCTGGTCCATGTAGAAATTCTTGGACAAGAGGCAACGTCTGAAATTCCTTTCTTCATTCTGTAACAGCAGAATGTATTAAAGTTGAATGTATATATATTGTGTGACCTGGAAGCTTCCTGAAATACAAATATGAATATCTATGTGTGTCATGTGCATACAAATACCCAAGATTTTTGTAGCAGCAGTATATATCATAACCAAAAGCTAGACAGGACCTACGTTTGTATCAACATTGAAGCGATTGGACACATTATGGCATATTTATAAAGTAGAATATTATACAACCATGAAAAACAAAGGCAGATATTACAAAAATAGTTAACACATGGAACATGGAATAACTAAGTCACTCATAAGAAACATAGTATATTTAATGGCTATAAAATTTTGAAAATAAGGCATGAATTAAACATAATAGAAGTGGATCAGATGGGAGAGTGATCAAGTCTGCTGACAGTTAAAGGGATGAAAAAGAGTGGGCAAATAGGTCGTCTAAGACAAGTTCATTTTGTTCTTAGCTGAGTTGTTATTGTGTGAGTATGTTTTCAAAAATTCATTGATCTGTACATGCAAATTGGGTATATTAATACATGGCCATTGACTTAAATGTTAAAATTAAGGCTAGTGGAGGAAACTAAACAATGGAATATTATATTATGCAGATTTCACCACTGTATCTGCTTTTATATCTAAACCTACATGGACCATCTTAATTCCATGAAGAAAAGGGAAAAAGCATTTTATTTAAAAAAAAAGGAATACAAGTGGCAACAAAAGGAAAATAAATAACCAAGAAGGCAACAAGTAAAGATGTCTCGAGAGCATTCTGTGCAAATACAGCCCAGGAAAGACAAAGACAACCCAGGAGTAAAAGCCATGGCTGCTGGGTTCTTCTCCTGCACACACTTCATATTCCACTGGAAATATTTTTATACAGTTTGTTACAGAGATAATTTAACATGTTGTGACAATAGCACATTGGGCACCTTTACTTATATGTTCTGTGGACATTTAAAATTAATTATGTTGACAACTTTAAAAAGCATCAAGCCCACTTTGTATCTCTCCCAATAGTACCAAATGTAGTGAAGTGCTCACTTATATATTTGCAAAACAACATTTTTGTCTATACTCTTTAGAGTCTTCAGTCTGCCATATCCCTATAACCTTGAGTTTATTTTTTTAAAGATGCACTTAGTTTTATTTCAAAGGCAGAGGTTTACAGAGAGTGAAGGAGAGACAGAGGTAGAGAGAGGATATATGGTATATCATCTGTTAGTTTATCCTGCAATGGTTGCAATGGCCAGAGCTGAGCTTTTCTGGAACTGGGATCCAGGAATATAGATTCAGGTCCTAAAGACTTGAGCTGTTGCCCACTGCTTTCCCAGGCCATGAGCAGACTGGAAGTGGAGCAGACAGGACACAAATTGATGTCCATATGGGATGCTGGCACTATGGGGCAGAGGATTAGACTGCTACCACGCTGATCCCTAATCTTTAATTTGCAACAATTATAATTATTATCATAACAGATAATCATCCCAGATTTCCTTTATCTTACTTAAGGCCAGCATTTCACTCATGGCTGATTTTTGTGCCTTAGCAAACTTTATGCTCTAAAGGTCAAGGGCAGCGTTAGTCTTCATTCAAGGCTTTGCAGCATGTCTCTATGGCAGGAGAAAGGTTAGCCGGGAAAGTGGGTCTTGCAGGGAAGCCATGGCCTCATCCTTCGTCATCCTCGAGGATATGGCTCCACACTGTGAAGGAGATTGGGCAGTGCCTGGGCGAGTGCTCCCTGCCAGTCACTCTGCCTGGACCTCGACTCCATTTTTGAGTGCTTTCCAAAGTTGTGCTTTCCAAGGTAGATGGAGCAGGTGAATTTTAGGAGATACTTTCCTTCTCCTATCTTTCTCAGGAAGAAGTGGTTAGACTGAGGTTATGGCCAGTAGATTAAGCCGTGGCTTGTGACACCACTTTCCCATACCAGAGCTCTAGCTGAAGATCCAGCTTCTCAGCCTTTGTTTTGCTGTTGTGTCTGGAAGGCAGAAGAAGATGGTTCAAGCATGGAAGAGCAGTGTGAAGTTCCTGGCTCCTGGTTTTAGCTTGGTCCAGAACTGGCTCTTGTGGTCATGTGTGGAGTCAATCAGTGGGTAGATCTCCCTCAGTCACTCTGTCTTTCACATAAAAGAAAAAAAGAAAGAGGAGGATAGATATGGAAGTTACTGGCAACAGAGAAATTTATATTTTCTTCTTAATAACACCTGACCTGGCATATAAAGATGATTCTGGTAGTGTAATTTCCATGAATTAAAATGAATTCTAATGTAAATGTAAAAATTCTCTGTAACATCTATAAACTTTCTGGATCTTTTCTGAAGGCTTTGAGTATTAAATGTGGCTTGCTTTTTTTTTAATTGCTGGCAAAGCTGTTTTTATCCTCTATGTGAGAATAAAATGCGGGAACCGATAGAAATGAGTACAGATATCTTCACTGAAGATGTAGAAACCACTTGGAGAAACACTGAACTTGGAGTCTAATAATTCCACATCTTCATTCACTTTCCTGGGGAGTCCTCACAAATTGCTTTATTTGAAAACAAGGGTCCTTAACCAGACAATCTGGGCCTACTATGGATCTTTGAAGAGATAATTTTTAAGTATGTGTAATAATTTCAGTATTTATTATCATTAATTAACATTGTTCACTTTATAGTAAAACTTAAATTAGATTTTTCTGTGAACTGATCTCATCACAAACGGTGGAAAAGTGGTTACCAGAGGCTGGGCGTAGTGTGAGGGAAGGGATATGGCAAGGGATGACGTTGCAAGTTTTAGTTAAGAATTAAATAAAAATAAACAAGCAAAAAAAGAAAGTTTCAGTTAGACTAGAGGAATAAGTTTTAGTGCTGTATCATACTTAAAATTTACTAAAATAATAGTTTTCATACCTTATCCTTTTCAAATCATAACTCGGAGGATTGATGAGGAACTCAGCTAATCTTTCACTAATGTATACATTGTTCAAAACATTCTATTAGCTTTCATGTATATGAGAATGAATATACATACTTACTGTTTGTTGACTTAAAACAGTTGATGACAAGAGCAGGTCACGCTGTGTAGCGGTGAAGTTGCCGCTTGGGGTGTCCTTCTCTTGCATGGGCTGCCAGTGGCAGACTTGTCTGCTCTGCTTCCAGCCTGGGTGTCATTAGATGACAGCTCAAGTGCCTTGGCCCCTGGCTCGTCCTTGGACCCTGGGCTGCAGTTCAGGCTTCACAGTGTTGGTCTGATGCAGCAATGACTGCAATGGACACTTTGAGAATAAACCAGCAGGTGGCAGGTGGAAGACCTCTCTCTGTCTCTGCACGTTATTGTTTCAAGTAGATGAAAGTCAAAGAATAAACACTGCAAATAAAGGAAATAAACAAAAATACATAGAATTATTCACCCTCTCCGCGATTCTGTTTCGTTTTCTTCTTGTGCTTGCCAGTTTTGTGGTTGGTTTCATTTTAAGCTGTCTCATATCTTCTTAAACAGACTGAAGATATTAAAACAAGAAAAGGTAAATTCTCCGTATAGAGATCATTATGTCATCATGTGATCAAATCAAATAAATCTTGGGAGAAAATTCTCATATGTGCTTAACGCAGATGGCCACAGCTAAAAGAGGAAGGATGTCATCCTTTTTTTCATGTTTGTGAGTTAAAGATAGTTATTTGTTCCAATTATGATGTCAACATTTTAGAGATATTATGATGAACATAATAAGATATGTAATAAAGAATAGATGAAATAAGCATACTCCAAGAAGTTAATAGAGAACAATTAAAACATAGCATATAATTTCCGTAAACTTTTAGAAGCCCTATCATAGGTAAATAAATATAGAAATGAAAAGCAGTATTAATAAAATTGAATGACAAATGTTTGTATAACTTGAGTCTTTAAGTCTTGTGGGTTTGTAGTTTCTTGACACTTCGTTCTTCAGATGAGCTTTCCAGATAAGCTTTGCAGAAGGTTCTTATCTCTTCCTCCAGGCCCAAACCCTGAAGATCTCACCAGTCCTGAAGCCAGTTGATAGTCTTAAAGAAAAGAATCAATGGACCACTCCTGACCCCTGCTGGTACCAGAAGGAATCATTAGAAAAACGACCTTTGAAAGTGGCCCTATAGAGACCATTATGTAATTATTTTGGAAGAATGAGAAAATAATTGGACTTTCAAATTGAAAACACACACACAATGGAAGTGCTTTTATTCAATATAATTGTAAATAAACTAACTTCCAGACACAGTAGAACTCATCAGTTCCATAATGATGAAAAAATGCTTGGTCATGACATAATTACAAAAAGACGGCATTCATGTAGGGAAATATTCCTAGGGAGAGAGAAAAAAGACCAAGATGTCTGCACATAGTTTTAATGAGAACGATCCCCTGAAACAATCATCCTCTTGATTTATCACACTTGCTTTTCAAATCCCATTTCTCGTCAAGTACACAGAGAGAGGACTGGGATTGTGTTACTACTCCTGACTCATATTTACTGCCACTTATCTTAATCATTTTATGCTTGGCATCATCCTGATCACTGGAAATTCACAAAAATCAGTGTCTTATTTTGAGACACTATAGAACAGCATAATGCTTTGGGAAATTTTGAATCTTGCAGTATTTGATGTACTTGTCACAACTTAGGATGATCTGGATATCATGTGCTGATCTAAAGCCGGGAGCCAAGAGTGTCCTCTGGGACTCCCATGTGGGTGCAGGGGCCCAAGGATGCGGATGCTCCTTGCTGCCTTCCCAGGCCACAAGCCGGCAGCTGGATCAGAAGGGAGCAGCTGTGGGATGCTGCTGTCAGAGGGAGGATTAACCTGCTGTATACTGCACTGCCCCCAGCCCTGCATTGCTTTTAACATTTAAAACAGTATTTTCCTTGTAGCCAAATCTAATCATGTTCCTGAATTCTATGATGACCACCAATTTTTTCTCTTTCTTTCTTTCTTTCTTTCTTTCTTTCTTTCTTTCTTTCTTTCTTTCTTTCTTTCTTTCTTTCTTTTTTTAAAGATTTATTCATTTTTTTGGAAAGGCGGATATACAGAGAGGAGAGACAGAGAGGAAGATCCTCCGTCCGATGATTCACTCCCCAAGTGAACGCAATGGTTGATGCTATGCCGACCCGAAGCCAGGAGCCCCTTCCGGGTCTCCCACGTTGTTGCAGGGTCCAAAGCTTTGGGCCGTCCTCGACTGCTTTCCCAGGCCACAGGAAGGGAGCTGGATGGGAAGAGGGGCTGCAGGGATTAGAACCGGCGCCCATATGGGATCCCTGGCATACAAGGCGAGGACATTAACCACTGCGCCACCGCGCCGGGCCCCACCATTTTCTTTCATTGAAAAATATCCTCTAATTATTTTAACTTTTTAAAAATCTATGATTAGTATTCAACAGTGTTGATGTGATTTTCAGATACATTTCTAAGAACATAATATTTTTTCCTCTTTGATTGCAGTCTTGTCTGAAATCATCTGTTAAATATTTTTGATCATTAAAAGAGCTCAAAATTCTTCAAAGGGATGAGACAACTAAAGGAATAGTCTTAAATTTTTAAAAATGGGAGTTTGGCACAGTAGCATAGTGGCTAAAGTCCTCACCTTGCATGCACTTGAATCCCAGATGGGCATATTTCTAATCCCGATGGCCCTGCTTCCCATCCAGCTCCCTGCTCATGGCTTGGGAAAGCAGTCGAGGACAGCCCAAGGCCCTTTGAGCCTGGAAGAGGCTCCAGGCTCCTGGCTCCTGGTTTTGGATTGGTGCAGCTCTGCCTGTTGTGTAGTGATTCAATGGATGGAAGATCTTCTTCTCTGTCTCTCCTCCTCTCTGTGTATATGACTTTCTGATAAAAATAAAATAAACCTTAAAACATTTTTTTTTAAATGTCAGGATGAGTGTATCAGCAGGACAGAACTATTTGCCCAGTCTATTCTTGTGAACACCAGATGATCAATGCATGGAAGGGTTCCTACGATCACCTCAATCCTTATTGCCATTGCTCAGTATTTATCGCATTTGTATCCGTGTTCCCATCATCTATTTCCAAGGATGTTTGGGACAGTAATCACCTTTTGTTTTTTAGAACCCAAACAAAAAAAGGCTATGGAATTAACCATTATTTTTGATTTTAAGATGCTCAGAAGAATAGTATGTGAGATGAAGGGAGTGTTGAGGGTTCATCTCTCTGCACAGCACTCACTGTCATGCAGAAAGATGTCTGCACTGGTGGGCTTAATGGTGTATAGAAGCCTGAGTCAGACACTTGGGCTATTTTCTGGGTTGACTGTCCCATGAAGATTATCTGGGATAAACAACATCTTGTGTGCAAGCTCTGCAAATGTAAAAGAAAAATATTTCAGGGATTAATTGAAATGTTCCTTCCTGCAGAAGGTAACAAGAGGATATCTTCCTCCTCACCTTTTTTACATGTGTGAAGTCCGTTCTGATCGCTATGAAAATCATGGTGAGGGTGCAGCAGGGAGAGTTAGGGAACTCTACCTAAAAAATACATGAGTTAACACTCCACGTATAGGGCCCGGCGCGGTGGCTCAGTGGTTAATGTTCTGGCCTTGCACGCCTGGGATCCCATATGGGCGCCAGTTCTATCCCGGCAGCCCCACTTACCCTCCAGCTCCCTTCCTGTGGCCTGGGAAAGCAGTCGAGGACGGCCCAAAGCTTTGGGACCCTGCACCTGCATAAGAGACCCGGAAGAGGCTCCTGGCTTCGGATCAACATAGTATCCGCCGTTGCGCTCACTTGGGGACTGAATCATTGGATGGAAGACCTTCCTCTCTGTCTTTCCTCTCTGTATATTTGCCTTTCCAATAAAAAAAAAACACATAAAATACATGAAATCTGTTCCCTTTATATTAGGAAAATAAACAGGCAAAGTAACGAATAAAACCAAGAAATCACAAAATTTGTTTTTATGGCTTTTTCCCCCCCAGCTTTGTCCCTCATTAACATTGTTCTTTGAGGGCTTAAAAAGACCTCCATAACACTTGATTGTTTTTCTTGCTCATTCTAATGCTGACCTTTCCTACAATTAGACCCATGTAAGAGGAAGGCAGACAGGAACCTTGTCATTTCACGGGAAATACTTAGGCACCTTCAACACTACATAAAATACTCCCACATGCGTCTCTGAAGTGTTGTTTCAGACTCCCTGGAAAGAATACAACTGTACTCCCACCAGGAAGTTCTAGCATGCAAAGACCTAGGCACACAACTTCATTTATTAACTTGGGTGTCGGAGAGTACTGTGCAGAATAAAGCATGCTGTAGAGAGAGAGGCAGTTGTTAAGGATGATGCTCCCTCAGGACTATGTACCCAAATCAGCTGTGGTCCATTGCTGTCCATGAGACAGACAAAAGGCAAGCCTCAGAGGCTCAAAATCCTGGCCCAAGAGATGCTTGACAAAGAGGTATAAATAGTTTCAGATTTCCTGGCTGTGGTTTGGTCATGGGCTTGGTTTTGTTTTTTCCTTCTACCCATCTGTTAAATACCTGCAGGATCTTGGCAAACACAAGTAAGTAAACTCGCGTTATGCTCACTGAAGATGAGAGGTTTAATTTTAAAATTTTATAAGTAAAAGTTAAAATTAGGTAATTTTCCTGGCTCACAGACCTAGAGTGAAACTTATTTAGTATTCAAATTCTATTCATTGTGTGTGTGTTTACAATCTGATCAGAATATGTCATCATAATACAGTAGACTAGTGCTGGAAAGAGTGCAAGTCTGCACTGAATAGACATTACAAGGGCAAAAAGAAAGGAAGGGAGGGAGGAAGAAGAGAGAGAAGGAGACAGGGAGGAAGAGAGAGAGAGAGAGAGAGATAGAGAGGGAGAGAGAGAGAGAGAGAGAGAAGCTAGTGTCACAAAGAATGACCAGAGGAGTTAGAAGAAAGCCTGAGGAATTTTAGGACATGTGCTGCCGAAGCGAGCACTAACCTGAGGAATTTGTTTTCCCTCTTGCTTGCCAGCAGCATTGAAGGGGGAAGATATTTCTTTCTTTCATTTTAACTTTTTTTTTTCATCACTCATAATGTCCTTCTGAAG